TTTGGTGCAAAAACTCAAGTTTAAAAGAAATTATATTCAAATTTTTTTTGTGCATTATTTGAAATCAAAAAAAATTTTGAATTTTGTTTTTTTTTTCAATTTGTTCCCCGCACAGTAGTAAAAATTTTTTTTTTATTAAGAAATTGTGAAAAATACCACATGCCAACAGGCTTGCCACCATTTTATTTCGATAAATAAGGCTTTTCTAAGCATAACTTGCCACTACGCCTATACTTCATCAGCTCTGGTATTTCCGGTATCTTTAATTTAACAAAATCTTCATTTGTCTACGTCATTTGGGATATATCTTCAAGAGTGGTCAACTAATTTTGTTACTCTTTTCGGAATTAAATAGTTACACGAATTTTCTATATGATCCTTTTTAAAATGTAATCTAACTTAACCACAAGAGAAGGTGGGCGCATTCAAAACTTGAAAGTCACAGCATAATTTAAAAATCTTAATTTGTGGACAGCGTTTAAAAATAAAAAAAAAATATTTTCTTCCACAATGCTTTTTTGACCCAAAGATACCTTATGTCCTTCATTTTTAAGCCACTCATCAAGCTTTTGTGAATTGTTTTGAATTTTTTAAAATTAATATTTTAATTCCTTATCAGTGACAATTCAGAAAACTGCGCCTGGCTACAAATAAAGTTTGTGTCTAGCTTCTGATGCACTTTCTGCTAAGGAGCCAACAGGAAGAATGTATTTGTCAATTATGATGTAGCTTCATGGGAAACCAAAAGTAATTAGTCATATACATGGTGAACACATATGTGGCTAGATAAACGAAAGTTTACCAAAAAGAAGCAAAAATTAGCAAAAATGGTTAATTCTTTGGCAACAAGGACACTTTTGTGGTTAATTCCTCGTTTTTACTTCTTTGCAACTCTGTGCCATTAAGAAGTTGTACTCCACAAACACAAACACAATCGCTAGCTCGAATCTATAAAGACACACATATAAGACAGTTCAGAGTTGGACAACAAGACACATAAAAGCAAACATTTGCAAGGAATTTCCATTTTCAGATTTATGAAAGTCTTGTTTCACACCACACAATTATCAAGCAAAGTTTATTTCAGCCGAGCGCCACGCCCCTTTCTAAAGCCCACAATCGCCCACTAACAAATTTAAAATGTGTCTGGGGCCCACACCTTAAAAGATTTCCGATAAGTATAAATGCAATTTTTTTTGTGTATACTTATATCTATCGAAATGTAGAAGACATTTTTCCAATCGGAACATTCAATAAAAAGTTATACGCAATCAAAACAATTGTATATATCCATCTCCCTCGCACTCCCCTTAGCCGAGTGACGGGTATTAGATAGTCGGGACACCCACCCGACTATAGCGTACTCTCTTGTTTTTCTCTGAATTTTTCGACACTGCTAGGTCTTTCTAGGTCTTTGCAGTGCCAAAACTACAGATTTTTCTTCAAATGATGATGTCAAGAATCGATTAGTATGGTCCATTCATAAAAATAAATTATTAAAATAAATAGAGATTTTTACCCATAGTGCTTTGGCATCCAAAAATCAACTTTTCGTTTTTTTTTAAACTGGTTAGATGGATTTAATTCCAAATTTTTGGATATTGTTAAGTGTCATTTAAATAAGTAAGACTAATTATACCCGTTACTCGTAGAGTAAAAGGGTATATTTTATTCTTGCAAAAGTATGTAACAGCTAGAAGGAAGCGTTTCCGACCCCGTGAAATATATATATATTCTTGATCAGGGTCACTAGCCGAGGCGATCTAGCCATGTCCGTCTGTCTGTCTGTATGAACGCTGAGATCTCGGAAACTACAAAAGCTAGGAGGTTAAGATTTTTCACACATATTATTGGGCCTCCTACGCAGCGCAAGTTTATTTCAGCCGAGCGCCACGCCCCCTCTAACGCCCACAGTCGCCCACTAACGATTTTGATTGTTGTAACATATATCAAAAGTTTAGCTGCCTTCCTATTTTTGGCATTAATTTTTTGGCTGGCCGAAGCTAGCTTCCTATCTTGTTTAACATGCGTTAGAGTTTAATTTTTATTTATCTCTATTATTACTTTTATTTCAATATTCGATTAAGTGTCCTATTCTTAATCAGGGAGATTTTGTCGACTTTATCTGGTAAGCTGGTGAAATTTGCAGATAATGAAGTATGAGGCACTTGCTTATTTATTTATTTTTTTTTGTAATTAGTTAAAGTTGTCTAGTTTTTACTCCCAAAACTTGAATTGATCGGACCAATACTTTAGGGAATATAGTCTTTCAAAAGTATGTTTTTCTGGGCGTTCGGCTTGACACAAGGCATTTCAATTGAGTGTTTCTCGAAACCACAACACGTCCACCGGCTTGGACACAATAACTCAAAAAGTTATAAACAAGTTTTTTTTTCACATATTTCGAGATATTTGGAAATTTTGTATATAATATTACTAAGCAAACATGTACTTAAAATGTACCAAATCGTGTAAGCTTTAAGTATAATTCGATAGCCTAAGAACTGAGAGACTAATTGGCGTAGAATCGAACAGTCAGATAAACGGACAGACGGAAATGACTTGATCAAGAATATATATATACTTTATAGGGTCGAAAACGGCTTCTTGACTGCGTTGAAAACTTCTGACTGGCTACGTTTTGTAGCCATAAAATCAGCTGATCAATGTAAGAAATTCTATTTGTTATACTAAAAAAAAAAGAATTTTTTCTTCTCATAAAAAAACGAACGACTATATCATATAGCTGCCATAGGAACGATCTTTGGCTTTTATTTTATTCTCTTCCACTCTGGGATATGACTGTTTTTTTAATATTTCGGAATTTTGAATTAAATTAAATAAAAATCGACGAGCAGTAATGCGTTATTGTATTGTTGTTTCAATATTGTATTATATATCAAATAAAAACACCTCTTAACGAGGTAAAAAACTAGTGACGATCGCACCTTCAACATACAAAAGTTCTGATATCAACATTTGTGACGAAAAATTATTACAATCGTCATTAAATACACTTTCTAATATTTTCTCATTCGGCCCGCCCTAGCGTACTATTTTAGCCTTTTTACCTTCATAGGCATTTTCTATTGCAGCGTGCCGAATGAGAAAATCTTAGAATCACTAAGGAACTCCTTAAAACAATTGAAATGATTCTATGAGCCTAAAATACAGTTTGGATACCCACGCACAAAATTAAACACTCAGGAAGCGTTAGTTGTTCTGAGCTGGCAAAAGTGGCTGTTTTCGTTTCTGAATAACATTTAAACGCGATTTTTTACATAAACATGATATATACCAAAATTGAAGGAATCTCAAGGGCTATACAGTTTAAAGTTGTAAGGAAAATCGTTAGAGCCGTTTTTGAGAAAATTAAAAAAAGCTAAAAAAAAAGTTTAAACAAATTTTCTTTTGTTCATATCTTTTTAACTATTACATTTACACAAATTGCATATAGAAGGCGTTTATAGCATTTAAAAATACCTTTCAAACGAGATGCAACATAAGTCTGTAGCTTTAGTAGAATAGAAGTTACGGCTTTCCGAATTGTAGCTATTTATAGCTGTTTTCCCGCTAAACTAGCGGGTTTTTCCAAAAGTGGTAGAACAAAAGTTTTTTATATCGATGTGATGAACGTCATATCAAATTTTCAGAACTTTAAAAACATATTTTGGACAAGTGGACAAACTGACAAACAGAATTAAATTTTCATTTTGGGAAGAAGAAGAAAATCTTATTTTGGCTATAACTTTTGAAAATCGCGCGATTTTTTTTTTTTAATTTTTTTGCTTGCGAAAGCCAGCCGCATGTAGGGAGTTGCCAAAGTAATACATACTTTTAGTTCCTGATTGTGGTGACATACAAAAAGCGATCAAAAATTAAAAACTTTTCACTCACTCCCATGCCCACACAAATCTAGGGAAAACTCCATATGGCTTTAGATTTGGCCACTCTTTCTTTTACCGTTTGTCTTTAGTTAACACACACCTGCGCACACAGTAAAACGGAGAAACAGTCAGGTAGTTAAAACTTTTAAATTGAGGGCGGGGATCATTTGTGATTTCTGCCGTCTGGGCACTGCAAATAAAAAGCCAGGGGCGGAAAAGCTAGGAAGCCTGCAAAGTTACAGTCACGGCAGAAGCGCTCTGTCACTGCTCATTTGTTGCTAATAATTATAAAAGTTTTCCTCAATCCCCCCGAGTGACATAAGTACCACAAAAAATATATAAAAAACACTTGCCAGACTATCTGTCTGTGAGCTGATAGAAAAAGGACACAGAAGTTTCCACAATTGTTTAGTTTACAGTCCTTTTTAGCGTTAGCATTTAGCTCAGATTTCGCTGCGAATAGTTGTGCAGTTCGGCCTAAAAGCTATCAGTATTAAATTTTTATTTGCCTACTTCATAACAATAGTATAAGATGTGTCTCCCCTTTTTATATAAGTCATTTAGGACTTTGGAGACTTGGAGCTCAGCCAGAATCCTTGGATAGCAAACAAGTCGAACAATGCGAGCGCCAAATTGCCTTAAAAGCCTTTTCAAGTCAAAAGTTTTGCCTGTTTGCGCATAATTATTTAGCCATGACATAAACAAAAAATCACAAAAACCCATTCAGTTGATATGAAAATAGTTTCTAAATATCCGAAATAAAGTTTTAAAAGACTACGATTTTATTCTTCCTTTTTTATACCCCGATACACGTAGATAAAAGGGCATATTGTGTTCGTGCAAAAATATGTAACACTTACCTAAATAAATTTATGCATGCATGCTTTGAACTATCAAACTTTGTCAAAGTTCAAGTTTTTGATAAACAAAATCCGTTACAGAACTATAAAAAATAAAACATGCCCTAAACCAAACAAAAAACTTATTTTTCTTATTAGGAAGCTCAACTTTTCCAAGGTCGCCTTCGTGAAGAATTTTGAGAATTTTATATTGTTATTCAAAACTTTTTATTCAGTAACGAATAACTATCCAGGCATTAAAATCAATAGCATGTCAGTTATCGAATTTTTATTTACAAATGATTTCCTGCCCACTGTAGTGTTTTAGGTCGAAGGAACATCCCCTTCAGCTTGGTCCAAACTTGGCAGATTGCCATCATCATCACCGAACATCAGCCTCTCAATAAGCTCCATTTGCGTCTGCAGAATTGCGCCCAAAGCTAAGGTTCGCTCGATACGCTCCCTATATCGCAATTGGATCAGTTTCTCGTCCCTCCACTCAGGCTGGAACATTTCCCGCCTTTTCTGAGCCTTTTTATCGATACGGTCTTTATACTTCAATTTCCGCTCGATATTTTCGGCCACTGTACGATTTTTGCGCTTGTACCGTTTCTTGAGGTTGGCCAACTCCGTAATAAAATTGAAAAAATCGGCATATTCCACGCGAAGAAATTCCCAAAACGATATGCGATGCATTGCATTTTTATCCCTTTTTGCTTTGGCCTTTGCCATTTGATTCCTCATCATAGATACAATTAAATTAATTAGCAAGTACTTGACCACAAAGCCCATTATAACATATAAAACAATGCCTAAAGACTCTCCTCCGGAAAATAGATCCAGCGGGGTGATTACATTAGTATAGCCAAAGGCAAACGAGGTGACTGTTACTATGCCATTGGGCAAGTCCATAAAGATTTTGGTATTATTACCATTAATAGTGACGGTGGAAATGGCAATTGCGACAATAAATATTATGGTTATTACCATCGTCCAAACGAGCGCTTTCCAAGCCATCGAAAGTGTTTTGGTGAAAAGCTGAAAAGTGCCGGAGAACTGCAATACCTTCCAAAGTCGCATTGTGACCAAGGCTATGGTAAAACCCTGCAACACGTCACAAAAATACGTAAGTCGCGCAGGCTCGCGAAAATCTATAAACTGCACGATTACTGAGATTTCAATGTGTTTAATCATTGATTGGACCAAAGTATCCCGGATCGATAGAATTACTACAGTTATCAGGCTGAATGCCACGATCAGTGCATCCACCTGGATCCACAAGGTCATTAAGAGACGGGGCTCATACCAGATCTTGACGAAGAATGCCTTGGCGAACTTCAGCCACAAAATAACGGCGACGAATAACACCAGCATTCCAAAGGGCGAAATCCCTTTTATTTGATCCACGAAAACATGACTATCGACATCTACGTGGGCGTGGACATTTCCAAAGGGAAATTGCTCTATCCACAATGTGCATACGGTAAAGGTGTTAGCATCCGCATTGTACAAAGTAAAGTCCATAAAAAGAGCGCTAGTATTATAATCCAACCATAGTTTCTCCATCAAATAATCAAGTATTATCAGGCTTTTGTTACGGGTATCCGAGAGCAGGACTTCGTATCCAGCCATTTCCGGATAACTAATAAAATGTCCATGATGATTGATGCCCATGATAAGGTGGTTCCGAAAGTCGGAAATCATCCCTAGCCATGGCTTATAGATCGGCCAATATTTGTCCGTGTAAGGAACCCTTTCATATGGCAATGACCAGCCTTCTGAAAAGTCCCTGCTGGTAAAAACAGGTTCGTTTAGTCCATTGATTCTCTTTTCCGTCCTGAGCTGCCTTAGTCTCACCACGCCCAGCAATCTGACGTGCTCCATATGAACCCAAGGAGCTCCGAGACCTGTGTTGTCCCGATCCGTAAAAGCTAATATCAGCGAAAACTCCAGAAAAGTATATACATCCAGCAGGGTCGCCAAATGTGATAGCCCGAGCGTATTCTTGTGGCCAAACATAAAAATATCCTTTGTGGCTTGGGTGTTATGGTGATGCAACTCATCAAACATTAGTAAAGACATGACAAAAAAGATCAGAAATAGCTTGCCAGTTAAAAAAAGTTCTTCTTTTATCAGTCGGTACTCCAGGTTGAGCCTCTCATTTCGATGGCTTTCCGTAATCATTAGCTCACTGCGTAGCGACCGAAGTCTAAGTCTTAGCTTGTCCATAAAAGTCTCAACCTTGGGATTTTCGTCGGGCGTAACAGAAGGTTGATGAGCTGGCCAACAAGCGGCATCGATGGACCATATCGTGAACCTGATAGGCGTAATAACTAGAATCTGAATTAACGTCACCGCTAAAAATGCCACCAGGATCATATTGAACTTGGCGTCGTCATGATTAAAGCCAGAGAAATTCCAGATGCAAAAGCCACATATGGCTATTATTACCAGCGTCATATAAACGATGATGTTACCATCCTTCTTCACCATTGCTTACGTATTTTTATAGGCTACTGCTTAATCTCCTACTTTCCTGAATAGTTTTCTTTTTAAAAGTAATAATGTGACAACGTTCAATGAGATATAAAATTCATAGCTAACTCTGGTGTTCCTTTTGTTTTGGTGGCAACAGGGACCCTAACTGTTATGAGTTTTATGTTAAAAATCACATTTTAACAGTTATTTTCAGATTCGTAAAATGAAACTCAAAGAATAACTGTTATTTTATGAGTTTTATAAAAAAGTTGACAAATAACCGTTATTCGTCGTGATCAAAAATAAAACTCAAAGTGGATTTATGGCGATTTTGTGGGTAAAACAAATTTTAAAAAAATATAGTTATACAATATTCACGGTTGGCTTTTTTTTAAAGATTTTATAAAACTCGGTTAGCATGTTTTTTTAATTATTTAATTTTTTTAAATGTCAAGGGAATAACTGTTATACATAAAAATCAACAAATAACAGTTATTTTTGACTTTTATAATAAAAATTAAATAAATAAAAATCATTACGAATTTGTAAACTACAATGGTTAACAAAAATGATGGTGTATTTAAAAAAATGTTTCGACTCTTCTAAGTGCATGTTTTTTTTGGTAAGAAAAATTTACAATAACAGTTATTTTCGGTCCCTGAGTGGCACCTCTACGAAAATTACACTAGCTTACAAAATAATATTCTTGGAGTGCTTCACAGCAATTGTTTGCAAATTCTGTTAGTGCTGGAGCCCTAGATCACGAAAATACCACTAATTTTTTTTTTGATGGCAACTCAACTCGGATTTTGCATATTTGCTTATTTTTATACCCTTGCAGATGGTATTATGATTTCAGTCAGAAGTTTGCAACGCAGTGAAGTATATAAAGTATATATATTCTTGATCAGCATGACTAGACGAGTCGATCTAGCCATGTCCGTCTGTCCGTCTGTCCGTCCGTCTGTCCGTCTCTCAGTTTTCAAGCTATCGGGATAAAACTTTCCCAAAAGTCTTCTTTCTATTGCAGGTACACCGAGAAAAAAAACCGTTCTCATCGATGTTGATTTTAGTATTTTCGATCACAAAACCTAGCCGAGATCGAAAATACTAAAATCAACATCGACGTCATCTCGGTTTTGAGAATGGTTTTTAAGTATGTGTGCTATCGATATCGAGATGACGTCTTCTCGGTTTCAACATCGAATCGATGTCGATTTTAAGATACAAATTGAATAAGAAGAAGAAAAAAAAAATAATTGAGGAATCGGGAATTTTGCCTCTTGCACCCCCTCCTGTTCGCGTCGGTGTTGTTGTTGGTTCCCCCCGTTTCTCAACTTATTTTTCTTTCCTTTATTTAAACACATGGATGACGTCACACTATGTTCGTATATAAGATCACATTTAGTTTCAAATTTTAATTGAAACAATAACTAAAATTATTATATAATTAACAAATGATAAATATAAAATTCAAATAACTTACTATCTTTTTGTTCTCTTGGGTTCTTGGTTTTTACTCTTATTAAGCCATTTATGTGTGTTAGATTAACAAAATCCTAATTTGTATTAAATATAAATATTAATGAGTAAAAAAAACGCAAATAATTTCCGCCTCGACGCGGGACTGAACACACACTTCCGACTATACGCTTACAAAACATATAATCCGCACGCTTTAGTCCCCTAGGCTACCGATATCAATAAGCATGACTGCCCGATAGGTACAAGAGAGGAATTCGGCCTCTCCGCCCTTTTCCTCTCATTTTTTCGATGACTTTTCCTCACGTCCACAACATAAAAACTGAGATTGACTTTGACTGGGAATACTAGAATCAACACTGCTTTCATCTTGATATCAAGAAGAAAAAAGTGAGAATACGAATACTAAAATCAAGATCGGTCGATGTTGATTTTTTTCGTTCTCAATTTTTCTGGGTGTAGTATATAAGTCGGAACGAGCCGGATCGGACAACTATATCATATAGCTCTTATAGGAACAATCGGGAAAAAAAATGTAAAACAAGAAAGGAAGCTACCTTCGGCCAGCCGAAGCTTATATACCCTTGTAGATAAAGTAATGCTTTCTCGGTGCAGTTCCAGGAATTCCAATTTTGTTTTTAAGTAGTCAAGAATCAAAACGCCTACTTCCTACAAAGTTACAATGAATTTTCTTGTATTTGTTTGAATTTTCCTATGGGAGCCTTAAGATATAGTGGTCCGATCCGGCTCGCTCCGACATATGTACTACCTGCAATAGAAAGAAGACTTTCGGGAAAGTTTCATCGCGATAGCTTTAAAACTGAGAGACTAGTTCGCATAGAAACGGACAGACGGACAGACGGACAGACGGACATGGCTAGATAGACTCGGCTATTGGTGCTGATCAAGAATATATATACTTTATGTGGTCGGAAACGTCTCCTTCACTGCGTTGCAAACATCTGACTGAAATTATAATACCCTCTACAAGGGTATAAAAATTATAGCTTGGGTGTTTTTGAGCCTATAACATCCTACTTTTGGAAATGTTATTTTTTATCTAATTCAGAATTTCGAATAAAATTTTTTCAATATCGGACGACTATATCATATAGCTGCCATAGAAACGATCGGAAAATTAATGGTTGGTTGGTTGGTTGGTTTTTGTTGTATTCTCTTCTACTCTAGGATATAACTCTTTTCAAATATTTTCGAATTTCGATTTTAATTTTATCAAAATCGAACTACTATATCATATAGCTGCCATTGAATCGAACGCAAAATTAATGAGAAATAATAGGAAAATTAACATTTTTGCGATTTGTAAATTAATAGGAATTATCTGCAAGGGTATATAAGCTTCGGCTGGCCGAAGCTAGCTTCCTTTCTTGTTATAGGAAAAAGATAGATCAATTCCGAAAACACCAAAGTTCGTTTCAATAAAAATATAGTTTAAAATTAATTTCATATTTTATTTTTTTGCATATTTGCATAAAATGCATTTGCATAAAATATGCAAAATATATGCAAAATATATGCAGAATATGCAAAATATTATATGTCCGTCTGTCCGTCCGTCTGTTTCTACGCAAACTAGTCTCTCAGTTTTTAAGCTATCGGAATGAAACTTTCCCAAAAGTCTTCTTTCTATTGCAGGTAGTATATAAGTCAGAACCGACCGGATCGGACAACTTTATCTTATAGCTATCATAGGAAGGAAACGTTAAAAAATTCTGGCTTCGGTGTTTTTTTAAATAAAACCTTCTACTCTTTGTAATGTTATTTTTTAAATATATCCGAATTTCGGTAAAAAGTATTTAAAAAATCGGACGACTATATCATATAGCTGCCATAGAAACGGTCGGAAAATTAATGAGAAAGTAATAGGAAGTAAAATTTAGCTTTTTTGGTTTTTATTGTATTCTCTTCTACTTTAGGACATGACTCTTTTTAAATATTTCCGAGTTTCAATTTTAATTTTATCAAAATCGGACGACTATATCATATAGCTGCCATAGGAACGATCGAAAAATTAATGGGAAATTAATTGGAAACATATTTTCTTATACAATAGGATATGATTTTTTCTAATATTTCCGAGTTTTAATTTTGTAATTTAATAGGAACGATCTGCTAGGGTATATAAGCAAGACGGCATGACACAACCAATGCATATTTTTTGCACGGAAGGCCAAGATAATAAAGCTATAATATTAAATGTGTTTTAACAGTTCAAAAGCTACATTTAGTTCTCGACGAAATTTTTTCTGTATGCCACAATTCAAAAGGAATAAGATACACGATTTGTTATATAATACACAGTGCTATAATGTGCATTTCTGCGTTAGTGATTCTTAGCTTCGCGCCTAATTTCGGAAGAAAAATAATTATTTCTAAAAAAGTACTGTCTGGGGAAATTTCGCACCTATTTTAAATACATATTTTTTTATTTGACGAGCTGGCTAACGAACAGACTACCGGCAGCAGCAACAAATATAGGACGTCAACAAAAATGGTACGCTTGATCAGTGTAGCATACTTACAGGCGTAAAGTTCCCAACATTTTTCAGGTGACGAAATTGCCCCTGTGGTGTGGCGATTTTACCCCCCTATGTGGCGAGATTGCCCCAGTATATTGGTTTTACTTTTTAATTTTTTATAAATCACCAAGGTAATTCAAAAGCTTGGTGCTAACCGCATTTAACAATAAAAATAGAAATATGATAACGTGTCTCAAGATGGACAAAAAATAGCTTTGAAAAAATGCTGACGAAATTACCCCACTCTCCCCTACACGTAAAGAAAGTTTCAGGCAAATCAAAAATGTAAAATTTGTTTGTTTTTGGCCAAATCCGTTCGGTTTGTAAAAAAACCGCCCATATGCGTGTCTTATAAAATTATTATGAAGGTAAAGTTCTGCACGTAAATTCCTAAGAAATAGCGGTCCATCGAGGGTAATTTTTTTGCGATTTTTTAGGGCACAGGCCCCTCTTCTAGACTATTACCGGAATGGTACTGCTTTTAAAATCGCATACCGGCCATTACAAAAAAGGAAAGATTCTGAAATGGCTTTGCTAATTGTACTCGTTTAAATGCATCACTAAAGGCGTTTAATGAAAAAAAAAGGGGAATTCTTCAGAGGATGATTGCCGAGCCTATTTGTACTTATATAACAGCTACTACCACTACAGTCGGAAAAAAAAAAATTGGACGAAAAAAACAATTTTTTTATATAATTTTTGAAAAAGTACCCTCTCATTGAAAATCTGTATCTCCGGCTGTAGTCATCCGATTCACTTCGTGTCTTTTGCATTAATTCCTCTAAAACCTCATCCTTAAAAAAAAAATAAAAAAATAAAATAAAAACAAATTAGGGTTTAAAAAAATTTGTTTAATATTATTCCCACCAAAAAACAAACTCTTTTGAAATCACTGTGGGCGCCAGTCCTTGTAGTGACGAAGCGCACAAGGAGAGTGTGCGAAGGCGACTACTAATATATAGCCGCAAAATTGAAAATCTGCTGTGATAGTCCGATCGTAATGAGTAATACACCAAAAT